GATCTGGCCACATTCGCTGACTGGATATTTTCATGGAATTTATAATCAGATCTTTTAGTTTCCTTTGCTGGCAGGTACGAAAGACGTTAAATACTTGCCAGTAATCTATGCAAATATTAATTTCGATCAAATGGATGTCTTGTTCACGTACTTGTTCAGTAACCGCGTTAGACAGGCGAGCGACACAAAGCTTATGGTACCGTCGCGATTGGAACAGTTCTTCATCAGCTTTTTTGAACATTCGCACATGATGGCATTTCCATAATATTGAAGCTTCTTTTTGATGACAAAATTAACAGCAATGACGTCATTCAGAAAATAACTGAGTTACAAATGTGGGCCAGTCGAAGCTTTCCATATTTCACGTCTTTTAGTACAGCAACTAATTCGCGACCATGCTGATCACAAATAATTCCTATGGTTTTTTGTTTCTAGGACCATAGTTATATACACATTTATCTGAATTATCCATGGTTCTGGGCACCAAATGCAGCAGACGTAAACAGTTAAATGCCAACGCGATTCACCGCACAGATCGCAACATCATCAGGGACTTAACTTGGTCAGTTCATATGGTCCTATCGTAATTTTACAGATCGTACCCCATTTATCACATCGTATCACGAGGTACCTTAATGGCATGTGATTTAGAGTTTACTACAAGACTGACAGAACCTTGGGCGACGTTCTTTGTAAAATTTGCATACCCACTAATAACCCTGAAGAAGAGTTAACTGTTGTCTACGAATTTCAGTGCAGAGACCGCGATAAGGCATACATTGGAAAGATTAACCGAAAATTGAATAACCGGATAAAACAGTACCTTTCTGTAATCCGGCTTGGACAGGCTGAGAATTCCGGCACTGCCAAGCATGTGATTACTGACGAGAATTCTTTCAGTGAGACTAGTGTGTGTGTGTGTGTGTGTGTGTGTGTGTGTGTGTGTGTTAGACAATGACCAATCTAAATTAGGTCTGATGATGAAGGAGCCCTTGCCTACACTTGTATCAGTGAAAGTTTGGGCAAAATCACAGAACTGATACGCAAAATTGGGTCATAAAGACAAACATCGGATGTACTTTGATGAAATATTATACTCTGTTCAGTCAATGTGTCAAGACGTTGTTAATTGAAAGTTGGCATTGTTCGCTTGTTAGATATAAATGCCTTCAAGCAGTTAATTGTATTCATTCCAGCCCTGATAATGCTGCCGTCTGTGCGGTGGAACGCGTTCGCATTAAGCTGATTAACATCTGCTTTATTTGGTGACCCGATCCATGAATCATTCGAACAACTATGTACATAATTATGGGCCCAGAATCAGAAACCTGAAGAATTATTTAGTTTACAACTAACTGTTGCACATTTCTTGTAAGGGATTCAAAACCAGAAAGTGAATTTTGGATCATCTTATTTACGTTATACTGTTTCTCCTCACTACTCAAGTGAGGGCCTGAAACTAATGTAGGAACCTGCCTCGAGAGGTTGGTGCGGTGGGATTCTCTTCTCGTCAGTGATGCTGTTTATAACAAAAACCATTCTAAGTGTTCCGCTTCTTTCACTCCGTCGGACTAGAGGAAGGTTGGGGGAGACATCGGCAATAGTTCCCTATGGTTGGCATTCCGAATGGATTGTCAAACGACAACTTGCCAAAACGCTCAAGAGCAGAGAAGATTAGAGGAGAGTTGACTTGCGTTCGTGGATCGCCAAAAACGAGGAACAAGCTGGGCGAAGGATGAAACTGGGTCTCGACATGTCAATCAATAGAAAACTTATCAGCGATGGAAAAAACTGGACGTCGTTCATTGCTCCCGGATAGCACAGAATTTTGAAGTTGTGCAGCTTTGCATTGCGCCTTTTTCTCTCTGGAAATTGTCTGATATCTAACTATGTCGTGCGCATGATGTTCGTAGACAAAACTGATAATGGTTTTCAAGCAGGTTTGTTAACAACAAATATAAATGTTAACTAAAATTAATATTCAGTGTTCTTGTTTAAAACTGCTAACATGTGAGATTTATACCGGATAGCCGGTTACGAGTAAGACTTTCGTTGAATCAAGAATCGCATCGAATCGAACAGACGCTTAATGGCAAAGTCCTGAAGAAGCCTTCGTGCAGTAGTGAGTCGAAAAATGGAGATGTCTCGGAATTGTGCCGTTGTCTTGTTTCTAGATGCTTAGACATACGCAACTTCTTCAGTTCCATGGATGCGAAGGCGCACCACTTGTTAGATCGAATAACAACCTGTTCGAAGCACCGATAGTACCGTTATGGCTGTAGCCTATTTATATATTCCCTAGAAGTAAGGGATGATGTGATTATGCCTTACAAATCCTGACAGGTGACGCGTTCTAAAAAAACAAATGAAGCAATCGGCACAAACGGCGGCAGATAGTGTTCACGGTTCACGGTTAGTAGACTCGTCAGAATCTCGATATTGGAAGAAACATCACCATCGTCCACTTTTAAGCTCTTCTTTCTTCAGGTGCTACTGAAGCCCTGGAATCTACTTTCCTAGTGGTAGCGCATCGTCGCTGATAATGAAATTTCATTTGGCTGTTTCCGGGTCGTCATCTTTTAGGCACAGACACGACAGTTGGGACATATGTGAAACAACTGACCTTAAACGGCTAGGCCATTGGTCTGTGTAAGCAGGATTCGGTACAGTCTCATATTTCTGCAAAAGAATTTAACTCGTTAAAAGAACTAATGCTTTCTAATAAGACAGACTTTTGCCAGGTATTTGCACTGGGCGCATGGCAAAGTCCAGAGCTATTGTTTTGATCTCTGGTTGTAACCGGTTCGATGAAACCCTATCCCACTGAATTATGAAATTGTGGCAAAATCGATCAACGCACAGACACCCACACTGAAAGATGAGTCAGTAAGGACGAAGTGACGTGAGGAACGAACTACAGTTACTGTATGGCGTGAGTGACGGTGATTTGGCTAGCAATGTCCCTCAGTGTTTCTCAGAGTGCGCGTGACTCACGCAATCGAAATTGTGCAATTTGCAACGGATTTGGACGCATTATTCGAGCGACAGCAATAATACGCCGAATTTGTGACCACTTTGCGACGGATCAATTATTCTAAGTAGCCGAGCATCGACCAGAAACCGGTTGTCGCCACTGCCGGTTAGCGGCCGACCGACCAGTGTGTGCGTGCTGCTTTCGAGCGCGCATAAACATAGCGTTAGATATGATAGAT